ACAAATAAAAACTGTTTATGGTTAAGATGTACAACATGGGGGAAGGGGGGGTGGGTATATACATACATAATGAGTGAGACGTCCACTGTCTGGGAGATGCTCACGCTTGAAGCTCAGACTTGTGGGGGGAGGGGAGGCAAGGGCATTATTTGAAACCTTAAAATTTATACCCCCATAATATGCTGAAATAAAAAAAAGATGTAATACATGATTATTGTTTATTTGAGATCTTTCTTTTTTCTTAAAGTATGCAGTTATTGTTACAGAATGCTCTCTTAGAACTATGCTTGCTGCATCAAATCAATTTTTGTATGTTGTATTTCCATTTTTGTTTGTCTCAAGATATTTTTGCATTTCCCCTTTGATTTCTTCTTTGATCTATTGGTTGTTTAGCAGTATGCTGTTTATTTTTCATACAGTAGTGAATTTTCCAAAATTTCTCCCATTTTTGATTTCTAGTTTCATGTCATTGTGGTTAGAAAAGATCCTTGGAATGATTTCAATCTTCTTAAATGCTCAGCTAATTTCTTTAACTTTTTGTAGAGTTGGGGTTGTGCTCTTGCTCAGGCTAGTCTTGAACTCCTGGCCTCAAGCAATTCTCCTCCCTTGGCCTCCCAAAGTGCTAGTATTACAGTTATGTGCCACCATGCTTGGCCTGATTTTCTTTTCATATTAAGAACCTTCATCTTTTTCTTTAAAAGATAGCACTTTATGGTTTCTATTTGGCATATCCCAATTGCCAGTATCACTACTCTTATGTTTGGGGCCATTATTAAGTAAAATAAAAGTCACTTAAACACAACCTGCACTACTGTGACAATAGATCTGATAACTGAGAGGGCTACTAAGTGACCAACTAGTGGGTAACATATACAGTATGGAAATGCTGAAAAAAGGGATAATTCACATCCTGAGCAGGGTGGAGTAGGACTACATGGGATTTTATTATTCTACTCAGATTAGAACACAATTTAAAACATAAATTGTTTATTTCTGGAATTTTCCATTTAATATTTTAGAACCACAGTTGACTGTAGGTAACTGAAGCCATGGAAAGTGAAACCATAGATAAAGGAGTACTATTGTAATTCATCTTGGAAAAATCTTCTTTTGATGAATCATGCTTTAGATTCTTGAAGCTTCATGAATCTGAATGTCCATATCTGTCCCAATATTTGAGAAGCTCTCAGCCATTATTTCTTTTAATAAGCTTTCTGTTTCTCTCTTTCTCTCTACTCCTGTGTCATCCATAATTTGTATATTTGTTATCTTGATAGTGTCCATAGGTTATAATGCTTTCTTCACTCATTTTTATTCTTTTTGTTATTCCTCTGATTGGCTAATTTCAAGTGACCTGTGTTTGAATTTGCTAATTCTTTCTTTGCCATGATCAACTACACTACTGAAGCTCTCTCTTGAATTTTTCAGTTCTATTATTGTATTCAATCCAGGATTTCTGTTTGGCTCTCTTTATGGTTTCTATTTTTCTATTAAACTTATAATTTTATTCATGTATTGTTTTTTCTGATTGCATTTAGTTGTCTGTTTCCTCTTTTTCTCATTGATCTTCTTTAAGATTATTATTTAGAATTCTTTGTCAGGCAATTCATAGACCTCCATTTCTTTGAAGTTGTTACTGGAGCTTATTCCTTTCATTTTTTGGTGTCCTGTTTGCCTGATTATTTGTTATGTGCATAGCTCTGTGTTTGTGTCTTTGCATTTGAAGGAATAAAAACCTTTTGCAGTCTTTACATATTGGTTTTGGCACGTAATAGACCTTCCATTGGGTTCCCAAACTGATAGATTGCTTCTGGAATCACAGTCAACTGGGGTTTTAACTGGGTCATGTAGCTGCTGCTGGGTCTGCAGTGAGGTCTGCAATTGAAATTCCTCTTACCAGGAGCAGAGTAAATACGTATCCTGTCTGGTCCCAGGATGGATTATACTGCATTCAGGATTTGGGGCAGTAGAGCTGGCACTGGGACAAGGGTCTGCTTCGGAGTCTGAGGTTGGGTCTACAGATAGTAGGCCTGTTACTAGGTACACTGGTGGGTGTCTCTCACTCTAGGTTCTTGGGAGGTCCCGCAGTGTGTCACTAGGTGGGTCCCTGGGCAGGCAGAACTGGTCCTTGAGCATGGCTGAGAAGAGCTGGAACTGAGTCAGAGGGCTTCTTCAGGGTTCACAGCTAGTTCAAGGTTGTTAAGCCTCTCTCCAAGGTCACAGAGAGATGTGCCTCTTGCTGGGCTCCTAAGTAGACAGGACTGTCCCTGACTGTGGCAGAATAGGACTGGAGCTGGGTCGTAGGACTTCTTCAGGATCTGCAGTGAGACCAAGGTTGGTGAGTCTGCTGTTTGGGGCATGAACAAGCATATCTCTTGGCAGGTCCCTGTGTGGGCAGGAATGTTCTCAAACCACAGCTGAGAAGGGCTGGAGCCAAACTACAGGGTCCACAGTTGAAACTGAGACCTGCTGTCCTGTCACACAAGGTGTGGGTAGGCATGACTCCTCCCAGGTCTTTTGGTGGATGGTTCCAGTGGCAGGATCAAGGCCAAATGGGGTTGTAGCCAAGTTCATGGGGGATGAGGCAGTTTCTGGGTCCAGGACCCCAGTTTACAAGCCTTCCAAATGAGTACAGGCTTGTCCTCTCAAAACAGCCTTGCACAGTCTTCAGATCCTCCTGGGTTTTGCATCCTCCTACCTGAATCCCGAAGCTCCCACAAAGCCACTTTTGTCAATGGAACCAAATTCTTATTGCTATCTGAAGATATGAGTGGAGGACCTCCTATTATGCTATCTTATTGGTGTTACTACTAGAATAGCTCCTTTATAAATGTTATAGAAGAGATTCCTAATTGATCAGCAGATACCTATTCCAAACTCCTAGACTTTTACACCTAAATATGTGCCCCTGAATGAGTATTTAATTTTATGGTATAAGTTTATATATTTAGAACAGTGAAATAACATGAGAGTATTAACTCCTATGCAATCAACTCTCCTCACTGAAGGTGTTTCCAGGTGAAAATGCAGTAATGATATTAAAAATATTAACCTGTAGACCACAGGCTCCGATAAGTAGAATAGACAATGACCACAGAACTGGGGCTAGGTGCTAGAGTACCCTTGCTTCACCAGAGCTTAACCATGCAGTGCTGGATGACAGGAAGGTTCTGTGAAGGAGGCTGGGGAGGCAAATACAGGTGAACTTGACGGAACTGGGACCCCAACTATTTATTAACCTGTTGAGCCACATAGGTGTGACTGTGGAAGTGTATGTATTCATAGCATCCTTGCAGGAAACACATTTGAAAAGCCAAACATGATAAGAAATGCCCTTATTACCAAAAGGAACTTTGAAGAAGAATTAATATTGATCTATTTTTCATGGAGATTGTTATATTTCCTTATTGAAAAAAGAAATTGTGGTAATTACATTCAGATTTAATTAAAGTTTCTCAAACTCAAAAAACCAAAAACAAATTGACCTAATCTGGAGAAAATTTTCTTTAAATTCCACTGTGCTTGCGTTTGATTATATAATGTTTGCAATTTCTATCTGTTGAACTGTAATAATTAGGATTTATCCTACTTACTTAATTCATTTTAATTTCTATGTTGAAAGGTATTCTAAACAATAGCAGGAGGCAATGTGTACTTTATGCAATATTTTGGAGTTAATGAGTCAATTCCTTTGAGAATTTGTAATTTTAGTAAAATAAATGAGTTTTAATAGAAATGTTTATTTTCCAAAATTTAAAAAAATAATGTGTTTTTTCTATTCGTGGGGAGAAAAAAATATGAGGAGGATTTCATTCTAGTCATTATATCAAAGTATAACTTGCTCCAAATAAGTTGTAAATAGGAAACCCAAAATTTTGGTTTAGAAGCTTATACATTGTACAATGAAAAGAGACATCTAGGATGATTCATATCATTCTTTTATGGGTGCCATTTATTATAAGACATTAGAGGCTAAAAACAGTTTGTTAATTGCCAAAAAGTGTAAGTGTTCTTCTATGGTGTTATTTCACCATATTTTTTCTTCTGTATTTTTTCTTCTGTTTTCCTTTATTTTCTTCTTTTCTTATGTTTCTTTTTTTCTGATTAAATTTATTTCAAAGTAATTGTGTGTTTTTTTATTTTTAAAATTCAAAACAATATCCAGATACCAATATAGCCCTGAAAGCAGAGGCTGAACTACATTATGGACAATTTTCTGGCAGATTAAATTTCTGCTACCCACATTTCCAATCTACTTTAAATGTCAACATTAAAGACTAATTTAAGTATTTTTTATTTTTATAAAAAACCTTAATTTCAACAAAATTTAACTGAACTATATTTGCATATAAGTATGCAAGATTTTATGTGATCTACAAAGATTTATAAGGGAAAACCTCAGCCTCCTAGTATCTTATAACAGGTAATGGATAAACTGACATGGAGAGAGGTCAGTAGGCAACGAGCCATCTGCAATATGTGTGCTGTTAAGAACAGACTACATTATTGGCATTTAGAGGTGCTTCCTTTATGGAGCTTGTCATGCCATGAGGATGGTGAAGAGTGTGGTCTAACTATGCCTCTTTGGAATCCAAAGACTTACTTAACTATTCACCATCCGCCTTATGCTCTTACATATGCATGCCCACTACCTTCAGTAAACAATGTACATGTAATTAGAGCTACACACCAATGTTTTCTTTGGGACACTTATTACACTAGCCAAGGTCATTTGTAATATTTTTGTTGTTAAATATTTGTTCCATAATCATTATCTTAATGTTCTTTAGGGAAAATCTTGGAAGAGACTTTTTCTAATTGCTTTTGAAAGAAAAGCACTTAATTTATTTCTTTTTTTCATCTTCCTTTTGGTGAATATACCTTAGGGTAGGTATTTGGCAAATAGCAGACATTTAATATAGCACAGATAACATGCGCTCTCCAGTGTGTTTATTATTGTGCCCAGTGTTCTTCAGTGAGTGTCTTATTCCTCCTTGCAGGACGGTTCTTTTCACTCTGACTTCTGTGGTTGTACTTGTCATTACAACTGACTGGATCAGCTGGGACAAGCTGAACAGGGGATTTCTGCCCAGTGATGAAGTTTCCAGAGCATTCCTCGCTTCTTTCATCTTGGTCTTTGACCTCCTTATTGTGATGCAGGTAAGTGTCTTTGTATTTCCCTCCTCTCACTGAAGCTGTTGTATGTTCTGTTCTGTATAGCAAACGCTGTACAGCAACAGTCTCCATAAAGCTAGAGAAGTGCACAGTTTACAATTGCTATTAATGGGGCCTTCTCTGTTAATATTTATAGCAATTATACTGGGAGGGAAAGCCAAATGGACTTTTATGAGAGATACATCAAAAATTTATTTTATGAACATTGCAAGGTGGGCCCCCAGAAAATATACAGCATGTTGGTATTTTCTGCCAAGGCTTGGGGTGGGGGGTGGGGGGGACACAAAAACAAAACAAAACAAAAAAACCCTGTGATTTAGTAAATGGAAAGCTGCAGACATGAGGATGATATAAAGCCAGCAAGGCAGGGAAAAGCAATTGTCAAAGCAACTCAGGGTTTTATAGCAGTTGAAATGGAGTGATGTAAAAATGCCTTTCTGGTTATGGAAATTATCACTTTCTTTCAGTATTCACCAGAGATCAATCCATTTTCATGTAAACAATATTTCTGCCCTGCTTAGCAACAGATTTTTTGCACAATAGCATCATGCTAACCAGTGTTATTCATGTAATCTTCTGGTGTGAACATTTGGGGTTTTCGGAATATGCCTCTGAATGGGGCAGAAAGAGACATTAGCTATTTCTTGGCACTTTATCTTGCTCATTAAATGTCCATCCATTTGCTAGACACTTTCTTATTGCTTTTGGAAGGCAATTTTGGTTTTTCTCCTCCTGAGGTATTATAAGTCACCAGAACAAAGGCTACCATTGCTGAAGGGAAAGGAAACTCTATTGTATCCTGAATTTATGTGAGATTTCACGGGATAGCAGATTGCTTTTCTCATTTCTGGAGGCAAAGAGAGGCCTTCATGGGAGATATTCTGCGTTGTCTCAAAAGATAATAGTAGTTTATTCATTTTTTTTAATTTGCTTAATAATATATCCTGGGCATTAGGTTTAAGATGGTTCTTAGAATGTATTACTGTTTTAATGGATGATATTTTAAAATACATTATAGTTTTTAAAAGTTATATGAAGGCATAAGAGTGAATAGTTCATCTCATTTAAAAATTGATGCATTTCTTTTTCATTTCCTGGGAGATAGTTTTGCACAATGGGGAAAGACTTGGATTTTGAGCCCAGGTTGAGTCCCATGGGCCAGTTTTAGATCTGCCTCTCACTAGATGTAGAGCCTCCTCTGAATAGCTACGAAATTGAATTCTTAGCACTTGTGCAATAATGTATCATGAATTGCTTGTGTAAAGGCCATTTTTATCTTCTTCCATCTCCTAATAATATAGTTCCTAATGTCAAATGTCCACTTTGGCCAAGTAGCCTATTGGTAATTCTCTGAACCCATCTTAAAGTCAAAGGTGATAGTAGCCAAGCAGACTATTGTCTCTGAATTTGCTTAAATTTATATATGTGAGAGCATAAACCTCCAGATTGCCCATTACCATCCTCTGCCTTCCACCCTATTTATATAAGTTTTAAGAATTCTTCCAGTAAGTTCACAAGAATCAGGGACTTCAAGTGGGAAAATATAACATTGTAATTTACAGATATTATGGATTCCCTCAAAAAGTACTTAATAAAGACAGATGGAAGAGTGGAAGGGAGAGTCATGATTTATACAGGCAGAGTCAGCAGAACTGGAGAGGGAAAGACGTTCTAGATGAAAAAAATGGCATAAAAAAGTAAAGTGTCAGTAAAGTGGTGAAATGCTCAGAGAGTAGCTACAGCACCAATTGACTGAAGATGGGAAGTTTATGCTGGGGAATATATCAGTCTGGATCACTTTGGCTACAAGTCACAATAACTCTGCCAAGCTAATTTAATCAAAGGGGAGATGTATTATTGCATTATAGCGATGTCCTACCCAATTGAAGAGGAGGGATACAGTTGCACCTAGGGACACATGAGAGCAGGGACCAAAATGTAACAAAGAATTCAGACCTAGTCTTCATTCTCCATCTGTCATCTTTTTCTTTTCACATTTCTTTCTTTCTTTCTTTCTTTCTTTCTTCCTTCCTTCCTTCCTTCCTTCCTTCCTTCCTTTTTTTTCTCCCTTGCCTTTCTTTCTGCTCTGCTCTTTCTTTCCTTTCTTTCCTCCCTTCCCTCCTCCTTCCTCCCTTTCCTCCTCCTTCCCTCCTCTCTCCTTTCCTCCTTCCCTCCTTCCTCTTCCCTCCTTCCCTCCTTCCTCCTTCTCCTCCTTCCTCCTTCCTCCTTCCTCCTTCCTCCCTTCCCTCCTTCCCTCCTTCCCTCCTTCTCCTCCTCTCCTTCCTTCCTTCCTTCCTTCCTTCCTTCCTTCTTGAAAAGCAGCCTTTTCAGTTTTCCAGTCCATATGGAAGAAAATGGCCACTGCCAACACCTCAGAGGGTGAGCACCTGTCAGGCCTGATTCCACATTCCCTGGGAAGGGATAGCAAGGACCGGATTGACCTGTGTCCATCACTGAACTGACCAGCTCAGTGTGGGAGGCTGTGCGGGTGGGGCAGTCCCCACAAAAAGAGGGTAGATGTTGGGCCTCAAAAGCCAAATTACTAAGTATCTAATATAAAGAGGAGTCAAAAATGAGACCCCAAATATAGATTTCTTAACTCCTTCTTTTCACTCTCCCTTAACACTAAGTCAACCAGCCAGGCCTATGGATTCATCTTTCTCTGTGCTTCTTGTATCCTAATCCTTCCTTCTCCTTTCTTTACCACCATTTCCGTCCTGACTTTCCACTGTACTATGGTAAAATAATATTCTATGGAATCTTCCGCCTCTAGACGTCCCTTGTACCATATGCCCTCTGCGGCTCGCCCTCATAGCCTTCCAATCAGAAGTGCCATGTTGTACACATCACTTCTCAGCCCCAAATATTATCAGTGACTCCTCCAAGAGCTCTCTGAGTGCCCTCCATGGTCTGGCCCTGGCCCCGTCCTTGCCCAGACCAAAGGGCTTTCTGCTTGGCCCTTGCCCACAGCATACATATTCTCAGGATGTCAGAGATCCTCTTGTCCCTCTTCAATTTGGGTCTTTCCTACTCTACTCATCTAGATCCTACGATTGAAGACCATTTCAATTATTCCTTCATTAAAACCAAGTGACAATTTCCTCCTCGGGACTCCTGTAGCATTCTTTTTTTTAATTATTATTTCAGCATATTATGGGGGTATAAACATCAAGGTTACATACATTGCCCTTGTCTCCCCTCCCCCCTTGAGTCAGAGCTTCAAGCATGTCCATCCCCCAGACGGTGTGCATCACACTCACTATGTATGTATATACCCATCCCCTCCTCCCCACTCCCACCCGCCCCACACCGACAAATATTTGGTTTTTTTCTTAAAATTTTGGTTACATTTTATATCTTTGTCTCTCCCTAGCAAGGGTTAGAAGTATGCCCTTCCCCTCCACAGTGTTCACCACATCCCTCAGATGTGGGACTACCCTCCAACCCCCGAATCCCTGGTGAACACCACCACTCTTTGAGCACCATAGTGTCAATCAGTCAGTACCAATTTGATGGTGAGTGTATGTGGAGCCCATTATTCTGATTTGTGTCACCTCACTTTGGATAATGGCCTTAAACTCAATCCAAGATAATATAAGCGGTGCTATCTCGCTGTCGTTTCTTAGACTTTGGTGGTTCTGAACCACCACCATTGGTGGTTCAGTGGTAGAATTCTCCTGTAGCATTCTTTACCTGAACTGCAAATCAGCACAGTTTTTCCTGACAACTCTACATGGCCCTGGAGCTTCCCTAGTGAACTGCCTTGCACGGGCAGTAGCAGGCCCAGGGTAATAACTGCTTGCTGAGGATAAAGAAGTGCCAGTTCAGCACTGAGTCTCGGGCCAACAGTGTCCCACTTTGTGAGCATCATGTGGATGCTCTGAATTAGCGCATGTGATAAGAGTTAATTTAAGTAAATATAGCCTCAGAAATCATGTGTAGTCAAGACATTTGAAATTATATAGTACAAACGTTCTAACAAGTCTATAACCAACTAAACTGTGGTCTAATCTGTCCCATATTCACATATTTAATTTCACAATTAAAGAAATAGCAAAATTAATAGAAACGGAAGTAGTTTCACTAAAAAGCCTGTTCTTGTTAGAATTATTTAAGTGATTTAAAAGCAGTTGGCCCTAGGCTTTTCTAATGGTAGGAAAATTCCAGTTGCACTCTAGAAAGATATTGTAATGTTTGGTTAAAAATAAAAAAAAAAGAAACCATCAGAATTTGGTACTGTTTCTATGAAGATTTTATTGTTAACAAAATTAGTAGGCCAATTCTGCATAATTTTAGAGAAAGTATTCTTCATTTTTATGAATATTCATGAGATAGGATTTTTCAACATGTATTGTTTAAACTATTTGTTGTATCACATTTTTCTGTGGTTTTAGTAAAGTCTCTAGGACTAAGATGCCAGCAAAGTGTGCCATGGCTCACATACATCACACATCCTACAGGGCGTGGGAAGCAAATTGTAAAGAAAACTTCCTTCTGAGGAAAATTTTATCTCAAATTCTGTTTGATATTTATAATTATGTCATTTGATGTATATACATATATATGTGTATATATATATATATATATCCCTTTGTTTCATTGAATAAGTATTGATTAGAGTATGTACCACCCACCTACCTTCTCTGTTATATTAAGGAAAAGACATATATATCTAAGACATATAAAAGTTAAAAATATGTGTTGTACAGTAAGCAAAGGACAAAAGAGAGTCATAGGAGTTCACAGAAGAGAGAGATCAATGTAGAGGAGAATAGAAGGAGAAAGCTTCAAGGAACAGATGAGAACAGACAGGCTGCTAGACTTTGAAAACATGGAACAATGAATAAGCACATCTTTCCAGCTGTGGGTAGAATTATAATCATCAAGGTAAAAATTCAGGTTTGTTCCATTAAGTTCAGGAAACATATATCGGTTCATTCCTTGCACACATCAGGAGCACTCAGGACAAAGCACAGTGGAAAAGG